TACTTTTTGTGTCTCAGTTTAATTACTATTACACTTAGATTGTGGATTTCAGAATTCCTATGCTTACTTTGTCATACCACCTTCAGTAGGCTCACTTTTGAAGTATAGTAAATTGACTCAATTTTTATTCTTTTTAGGGAAAATTCGTTTCACACTGAAATATTTAACTTATCAAGGAGAAATGGGGCGAGGTTACAAAATTATCCTGTGTGATTATATTGCAAAAAGGTAAATTTAACTTTTAAGTAATTTTCTACTACAATAATAACTATCAAAATAATGTTGCAACTTACATGATATTTCTAATGACCAGTAGAAATAGTTACATTCAAAAATTACAAAGAACTACTTATTGTTTAAACTGTTTGATGGTACGTATGCTCAGAGAACATACTATTGGAGGCAAAGAGCGATTCGTTATTGAGTCAATGAGAACATAAGTTTTAACAGAGTTTTTTAAAATATCACCTACATATTAAATGTCCACGTGTTATACTAATTTGAAATGCTAAAGGGCATCACGGTCTTCTAGATGCCTTTACATCATAACAAACAATATAAACAAATAATGGATTTCTTAAATAACAGGGAGCATAAAGAGCATTTTATTTTGTCTTTGTCTTTTTGAGACAGGGTTTCACTATACAGTTCAGGCATGCCTTGACCTCACTTTGTGGCCCAGGATGGTCTCAAACTCACAGTGATTCTCCTGCCTCAGCCTCAAAGTTCTGGGATTACAGCATTTTGGATTACAAGTGTGTGCCATCATGCCAGGTAATATTTTTTTCTTTTACTTCATAAAAATATAAAGAATCACGACAAGTCCGATCTATGTAGTAAGACCATAAAGACCCTGTAGACGCTGTCCTAAATACAGAAAATAAATAAGTAAATAAATACTAAAATTTATTAGAAAAGAGAAACTTGCTTACATCAAAAGTAAATTCGTAATCAAAGTGGTTACAGTGTGGTTATAATCATCATAAAATCTCTAGATTATTTTCTACCATCTAATTTTTAGAAGAGTAGTTGGTATTTACAAGTTTTTTGTTGACAAATTTTTTGTGAATATTTTCAAAAGATTAGAGTAAGTATCCTATTGTTTTTCTGGGTTTTGGTTTCAAAAATATCTTGTTCCCTTGAAAACTTTCAGAGTGCACCTTTTGCAACTGCACCTCACTTCCAAACTTCTGGTGGTGATGCCTACGCTCTTAGCAATCAGATAGGGCAAGTAATTCCATGTTTAATTATAGACATATTAAATATCAGTGTGTACAATAAGAAAGCATTATGTTGTCACAGTTGTCAACATTCATAGGAAGCAAACAGAGAGACAGCATGATACAACTCTGTTACTGCATTCTTTCATTCATATATATAATGTTTCAATTGCTATATTACTGATAATAAAGTATAAGTTTCACTGGGACATTATGTTTAACATCGTTTTTGATTTGTTTGCCTTCATAATGGGAAATTCCAATTACAAATTTAATGATCTTAGCCAAATTTTAAAGCTACAATTCATTCAAATATTTTGGTTAAAAGAATGGAATTGCTATTGCTAGAAAGTTATATCTCACTGCAGATTTCAATAGTTGATGTCCTGGAATCAGTCTAGGGCAAGAAAAATAACACGTTATCAAAATCAGATGGTTGTGTTCTACAAATCTTATTTGCCAAGCATGCTACGTGGTTAAAACTCACATACAAAAATACAGATGCACAAAATAAGTTATTTAATTTAATCATAGTTAATATTAATCCTATTCCAGGAAACTGAGTTGCTGTTATCATTTGAATCCAATGTGTCTACAGAATGATTTTTGCCATGAGTTAAAAGTTTCCAAAACTTTCATCATTTACTTCATAATTATTAAAATTTCAAGATTATTTGACTCAAATTACAGAAATTTGTTAAAATATATTTTAGAGTTCAATAAATGTAGTAACTTAAATAAATATCTAAGACAGTGATTGATACATACAGGACCCCTCAAAAATAGTGCTTTCAATTTCCTTTAGATTTTTCAAATATGTGGTTTTCAACATATTTTAATGGAAGAACTGTGCTAAAATCATGATTTTACCAATGTGTATCTTATATATGAAAATTAACAAAATCTATTCTAAAATAGTTTGTATACTTAAAATTTTTAGAGTAGTGGGAAACAAATATTAGGTGATTGCTCTGAAAGATATTAATGGACAATCATCTATGGATTTGTCTTCTTAAATAGCCAGCACAAATATATATGAAAAATTTTCCATAATACATTGAGAAACTTATGCCAGATTAGTACATTCTAGAGATATAGGTGGCCTCAGGCAATAGATAAATTCCTACACAATGGCAGCCCTGTGTGTTTCTGAACAACTGGTCAGGACAATTCTATTCTATGAAAAATATTTTATTTCTTTTTAAAATGGAAAATTTCTAATATGGCTTCTTGTATCTTATATAGTCTATTAGCATAATTTTATTTCTCAGCAGAAATATTTCTATTCAGATAAATATTGAATTAAATGTTACTATAATCCTAAACACTCATTTTGAAAGTATGTTTCTCTGCTTAAAGTGTTGTAAAATGTTTGACATTTGGTAACAGCAATAATTTCTTTCACTGGCTGAATTTTACTAGCAATGTATTTTTATTATACTGATTAATACAGATTCATATATTGTGTATTTTAATTTTTCAATATATAATTTCATTTGCAGTATACACTCATTTTGATTAGCATCCTGAAATATCAGTGAGTGTAAGATTATTCTCTTGGTATTAGTCATAAATTTAAAAGTATACAGAAGAAAAAAAACTATGGCAAATGTTGAACAAATTGTTTACATTCAATTTTTAGTATTTCATTAGTCTCGGTAATAGCTAAGTTCACAAATTGATAATGAAATGATAATAATGAGTATGAAACAACTATGAGACAATGGCATAAAATATATAATTTTTTAGCATGTGAAGAAATCAAAATTATCATGTGATAACTCATTTTAATCCAGTGCTTTTAGTTAATTATAACTTTAATATCACCTTAACTCATTCTTAGATCTTTTCATATTTTACCTAGCACATGAATGCATTAGTCATATGTTTACTAAAAGGTCTATTAGCTGTTTAATATGAATTATCATCATAGGAAAGTGTTATTTATTTAAGGTCATAAACATTGAATAATATTAAAAAATGAGAATACTTGCAAAATGATTACTTTTTCTTCTCATCAATGCCTCCTCACTACTTGTTTATATACTCATGAAAAATTAGTCTATCTCATAAGATATTTCTAAACCCTCAAAATCAGCCAAGGCCAAAATTTGATCTATTATTAATTAAGTTTAAACTGGTTAGGAAAAAATAACATATAGTACTTAAACTCTATCCTTTGTATACTTTTTCAAAGCATTCATACATTTGCCCCAGAAAAAGTGTTGTTAGAATATGCAATACACATAAAATGTTACTCATATAAACAACTTTTTGTTGCAAAATATTTATAATAAGCATGGAAATAGTAATAAAATTAGAAAATAAAGGCATTTTAATGGTTTAATATAAACAAAACACATCATGGGATGATATTAACCACTTATTATTTGGATTGCCCACATACAATGCAGCAGTGTAGATAAACATTGGACTCAATCAAATTGCAGGTGAAACGTGCTATAAGATCTCTCACAGCCTAACAGAAATGCTATGCAGAGAAAAAACATCATTATATCTTCTGCAACATCATTTAATTGCAAGTTTATTGTAGCAAAATTTCACCCACAACTGAATGAGTATCTTACCTTCACTCTATGATTAAAATAGAAACACTAATATTATTATATATAATTTAACTTGTATATCTTTGAATTATTTCCATTCTTGCAAACATTTCCAAACATATGGGACATTACACTGCATGGTTATCTTAAAATGTAGTGGAAATCTTCAATATATCTAAATTTGAATGATAAAAATCTCTTTGACTTTTACATTGCTACTGTGTTATTATTCCTGAATAACTTTCCTAAAGATTTTATGTATTACAACTGAGATAAATACTTCTTCAAGAGGTACACAGTCAGAAAAATGAACTCAATATGGTGCATACCTCAGAGAGAGAGAGAAAAATAAAAGTAGATCAATACCATCACTTAACCTTTTTGAGAAATAGTACTTTTACTTTTTCAGATTTTTTCATTTAGATATGGAACATGAGTTTTAATAGGTGAAATATAAACTCTAGTTTTCATATTGGCTTTAAAATTCTATGGACATATTTCTTGAGTTTTACTATGTTCTTATTTCCCTTTGTGCCCATTATAAAAAGCAAATACACAGCATTTTCCAAAATTCATTACTTTATAGAATATCCCCTCATAGGTTCTGAATATCTTATATAAATATGGAGTTATTTAACTATTTATCTGAAATTGAGATTTCACATATATTTTATTCATTGCCTTGAGGATAAGAATGAACTTGCCATTATTTATCTAAACTCATTGAATTCTTAATCTAAAACTTATTGCTAATCTGCTTTTGGGGGACAAGAAACATGTTAATTTATGGAAGGCGGATATCATAGTACTATTTAATGGCTTTGGAAAGCCTCAGACTTTCCCAAATGAAGATGAAATTCTCAACACCATGAAGAGCTCTTTAGCAGATTTTAAAAACTGTGTGTGTAGTAACTCAAACTTTTCTGTTCACCCACACAATAGCAATTAGAGCAGTGCTAGAAGCCTTGCTATGCAATTTTCCCATTATACTGGCACCCTAGTGCTACCAGAAGACAAATTTGCCCTGTTATAACCATTAAATTATGCTTAAATTTCATACAAAAATCACTTATTTTGTTGAGATTTTTTATCAACTTAAATGAACTCATACATTCATCGCACAGTTTTTGTACATTATGATTACATTTTTCCCTTTCAAGTCAATAGATTATGTAAAGTTTTACATTAGTTGAAAATAATTTGAATTACCTACCAGTCTGGTGTGTATAGACACAGGAGTCTTGAACATTGCTACTGGATAACTGCTTTCAGACACACTGTAAGGATCAGAACTGCTGGAGGAACACTTGGAGATGGAATCACAGGCCACAAAGGTATTATCAAGGGGTAGTTCCTGGATGATATGGTGCTTCGAATTCAGGGGAGTTTCAGGCTGGATCTGGAAGGTTGGCTGTGGAGAGGCAGATTTGTAGTGCCGGGCCAAATCAGGACTATCAGGTTTGAAGGTACTTGGTGTAGTGCCCCATTTGTACTTGCTCATGTTCTGTTCTTCAAGCTCAATCGGGAGATCTAGTGTCACCCCATTTCCATCATGGCTGGCATCACCTGTCTTTGTTTCTTCAATAGTGACGAAGTTAAGCAACAACTTTTTTGGGACATGCTTTTTCATTTTCCTCTTCTTTTTCTTCATCATTATCATCTGCCTGTTTTCTGGGTTTGGAGTGACCCATTCAGAATTCTGTTTGCTTTTCTGGGTAGACTTAAGTTGTGGTGATTGACGACATCTTACAACAGCAGTAATAAAAATTACTAAGATGACAGTTATGGTGCCTGCAACAATAGCAACCATGATTTTAACATAGTCAATTGTTGGTGAGGATGCATCAACTGTCTCAATATTCTGGGTCACTGCTCTTTCTATGCTTTTCTGCACCAATTCATGAATCAGGGTCACATTAGAAACTGACTCATTCACAAACAGATTGACAATCACAACATTGTAGAGAGAATCAGGTTGTCCTAAGTCCTTAACTTTGACTACTAGTCTGTGTAAACCAAGGTCTGCAACAGCACATTTTTCTTTCAGTGTGATATTGCCTGTTGTTTGGTCAATCACAAAGAGGCCTTTTGTGTTTCCTCCTATAATACTGTAACGAAGCTCAGAATTGATGCCAGTGTCATTGTCAATGGCAACTACTTTGAAGACCACTGTGCCTGGATTAGTGGACGGTAGAACCAATTCATAGGAGTGGTTAGAAGGAGGAACAATAAAACCTGGTTTGTTGTCATTGACATCAACCACATTTATGGTTACTTTAGCAGTTGAAGAATGTGATACCCTACCACCATCCTCAGCCTTTACAAAGAAAGTATATGATTCTTGTTTTTCTCTATCAAATGAAATATTCGGCCTGATGACACCTGTGTGTGGATCAATGGTGAACTCATCATTCATATTGGAAATGGAGAGGGTGACTGCAGAATTCTCTCCATAATCAGGATCAGTCACAGTAATTAGTCCTACTGTGCCATGATTTGGAAGGTTTTCTGGGACATAAAAATTGTACTCATTGTGAGTGAAAATTGGACTGTTATCATTCTGATCAAGAACCGTAACAAAAACTGTGGCATTGGTCATTAAGGGTGGTATCCCATTATCTTTTGCCAGAACAGTGAAATAATATTTTTCTTGTTTTTCTCTATCTAGCTTGTTCACTGCAGTCAAGATACCTGTACGTTGATCCAAGTTGAATGCTGATGGAGCATCCATACCCAGCAGGTAACTGATCTCAGCATTATGTCCACTGTCTGCATCTGTTGCACTTATTTTTGTTAACTGTGTGCCAGGCGAGTTATTCTCAGGAACAGAAATACTTATTAAAGGCTGAATGAAAACTGGAGCATTGTCATTTTCATCTTTCACTTTAATGAGGAGCATTGATGACTGATTCAAAGGAGGTTTGCCAGAATCAGCTGCAAGCAATTTAATAGCATATTCTCTTGTAGATTCATAGTCAAGATATGCAGCAGTTTCGAGGAGGAACTGATTACTGAATACTGGCCTTAACCTGAAAGGAACTTCATGATCTGTGAAGCATGTTACCCTACCATTGTGATCAGCATCTTTGTCAGTCACAGTTATTAGAGCAATTTTGGTGTTGAGTGGAGCATTTTCTGAAAGAACCACAGTACCATTAGTTGGATTGATGATATATCTAATGTCAATTGATGGGACATTATCATTAACATCTGTAATATTTACCAGCACCATTGCTCTTGCAGGCATTGATCCACCATCACTTGCCAAAACAAGTAATTTGTGGCTTGGTGCTTCCTCTCTATCCAATGGTTCTTTGATTGTGATAAGCCCAGTGGTAGTGTTGAGAAGAAATAGTCTCTTAGCAATGTTTGAGATAAGATTGCTGAAATAGAAATGAATCTTGGCATTTTCACCAATGTCAGCATCTGTGGCATGTAGCTGTGTCACTGAAGTACCTACTGGAGCATTTTCTGGTATGCTAACTTCAATTTCCTGCTCCTTGAACACAGGATGGTTGTCATTAGTATCAGAGACACTTACTTGTAAAATAGCAGTACTAGATCTCTGAGGAAATCCACCATCTTCAACCTTGACTTTCATCACATAAGTATCCTTTTCTTCCCTATCTAACTCTCTCTGTACTATTAGTTGTGGCATCTTATCTCCTTCTGGTGTTTCAATGACATCAAGTCCAAACATATTTTGGCCCTGGAAAAAACAAAATGAAATATGTTTTTACTTATGGTAATATATATTAACTAAATTAAAATCAAAGTAGACCAAATATCAAAACTTAAAAACACCAAAGGAAGTGCTTATTCCACAGAGCCATCTCCCCGGCTCCGCAATTGCCGTGACTCATCCACATGGCTGACACTGACAAAGGATCTTCAATCTGAGGTAGAGGATCACAGGATAAATCCTGAGGGGATTTCACTGACCTTATAAGATCCAAAAGCTACAACTCTTGTTGCATATGTCTTGCTTTACCTTGGTCTTAACCATCCAGCAGAAAAGTATAAAAACGAATTATAAGAAGTAAAGCTATGTTGTTATGTTGAGCTGTAGGGGACTCAGGTCAACAATTTCTGACATTGCCAGTGAAGTGGAAGACCCAATACTATTATGGGCTACTGGACTCTTTTAGAATATTTTGCTGAGTTTACACACCTATATTTTTCAATTATTGGACTTAACCAAAAAAGGGGATACAGATGAATGTCCATTTTGTATTTGTGTATTCAAAATGGTTAGAATAGATATATAGTTTTCATTCTCTCAATGAATAGAGGGATTTGTTCTTATAGTGTTTTTAAATAGGATATCATGTCCTCATCTTGTACAGCAATTAACCACTAGGAAGAATGTATGCAATGTGTTAATTATTGAAAGTGTCCTATCAAATTGGTTTGAAGAAAGAAACTTAAAAACAGAAATTATAAAGCTACTGTAAGATGGGATAGATAAAACACTTAACAGAGAAGTAAACAAAAAACTGATTGTCTAAGCAAAACTTCCATTGCACATTAAATAAGAACAATAATGATTAAATGGAAATATAACAGAATAAAACTTTTTACATAGCAAAAGAATCAATCAGTATATTGAAGAGACAGGGCCTGGGGAGATATCTCAGTAGAATAAGCACTTTCCTGGGAAGCGTAGGGTCCTGAGTTCAATCCCCAGCACCATAAATAAATAAATAAATAAATAAATAAATAAATAAATTGCAGTCAGTGTCAAGAAATGGGAAAGACACATAAAAAGAAACTTCTCGGATGAGGAAATATAAGTGGTCACAAATATATAAAAAAAATTCAACATTTCTGTCCATTATAAAAATATAAAGGGGCCGGGGTGATAGCTCAGTAGAATAAGAGCTTGCCTGGTAAAGGCAAAAGCCTGAGTTCAATCCCAAGTTCAGAAAAAAAAAAGCAAATTAAAGCAATGCTAAGGTTTTTCTTACTCCTGAAACAGTGGCAATCACTATGAAATTTAAAACCAGGAAATTCTAACAAGGGTGTGATAAAAAAAGGAACCCCTACTTCATTTTTGTGGGAATGTAAACTGCTGCAATTGTTTTGGAAATCATTATGAAGATTTCTCAAAGAAGAGAAGTTAGAAATTCCATATGACCTAGCTGTGTTCCTGATAGGTATCTTCCTCAGGGAATTTATGACATCACACTACAGCTACGAATGTATACCAATCAATATTTATAGCAGCACAATTTGTAATAATTAAAACATGGAATCAGTCTTTATGCCATGAAGAGACAATTCGATAAAGAAATACATTTTCTATATAAAATGGAACACTAATCATAAATTTGAGTCATTTATAAGAAAATTTTGGCATCTAGAACATGTCATGTTCAGTGCGATGAACCATACACAGAAGCTTAGATGCTATGGTGTCTCTCATTTAAGTAAAGTATAAATAAGTAGAACAATAAAAGACAGAAAGGGACAAGAGAATGGTTTTCTTGCATAAGGAAAGTGGTCCAAAGGAACAAAGATGAGTGATGAGGGGGAGGAAAAGTACAAACACACAGAATAAAGATATGCCTTGTATAAGAACCTACTAACCTAATTAATATAAACATTCTATGCCATAACATGAGCTATGGTTAATGGTGGCAACAAGAATGAATACTGAAATAAGAGAAATGTATAAGGAAGGAGTGAGAGAGAAGGCAGCAGAAGGGGCTTTTAAAAAGAAACAATGTGTAGTATATAAATATAATGCCTCCTCAATATGATTGTAAACTGTAGAACTACAAATATTTACTAATAATTTTTTAAAACATTTTTTTAAAATTTTACCTCTATAATATTATACAGAGAAAAATTTTGTAAAAATCTTTCAGAAATAAAATGTTTTGTTACTATAATAAAAATTGGACTGGTAAAGTTAGTAAAATTTTACATTTTCACTTTAAACTTTTATTTTCAGAATTGTTACCAATTCTAAGAGTGGTATGTGGCCAGGACATTGCTTATAAAATATGTTATCCCACTTGTGGCAAACACACATATGTACATCCCAAAACAAAACTGAGAAAAAAAATAACATATGAACTGAACACAAGAATTATTTACACATGTGTGTTTAGATAGATTTTGTTTAAATATTCTCCACAAAGCCTCATGCAGTAATAGGTGGGGCTTTTTCAGAGAAGCCTGTATGTAAAGTGTGTGATCAGTTCAAGGTACACTAACTGAAGTAAGGGTACAAAATGATTAAATTATTCTAATGGTCGTTTGGGCATCACCATGATCACCATAGCTGGATAGGGAATAAGAGGAATAAAAAAATCTAGGAAGGTCACTTTGTTGGTTTTCTTACCTTCTGCCAACCATGAACTATGTCATGGTCTGTGATAGCAGTCTGCCGAAAGTAGAGCTGGAACGCCTGAGCCTGTACTTAACAGACTCTAGTCAGAGCTCAACAGAGGAGAAACATGATAGGAATTCTGCCAGTAAAGATCAGGCCATAGCCATGATCTTGGCCCTAGCCTTTCAAGGTCAGTGAGGACTCAGGACATAAGAGAACCTGTACTGTAACATCCTGTAACTCAGTGGTGTCCCAAATTTTCTGATCAAGGAGATTATGGGGCCACAGAGGAAAGTGATACACAATGTAGAGTGTGCCTAAAGAGAGTCACCAAGAGAGAAAAATTTCTCTCAGGCTTTCACAGAGAGCAAATTGGTCAAGCAATGGCCATGACTCATCCAGATGACTGACACTGACAAAGGATCTAAAAACTATTGTAGAGGGTTTCAGGATAAATCCTGAGGATATTTGACTGACATTTTCAGATACAAAAGTTACATTTTTTATTGTATAGGCCTTGCTTTATCTTGGTCTTAACCATCCAGCAGAAAAGTATAAACATAAGGTATAAAAAGTAAAGCCATATGAATATGCTGAAATCTAAAAGGTTCAAGTCAACAACTTCTGACATTGTCAGTTCTGTAGTTAACCCACTACTGTTATGGACTACCGGACTATATTGGAATATTTTGCTTAACTTTCCCACCTACAATATTTGAATGGCAATGGAATACCCATCTCTGACAAAACTAAACAAAAACGGGATATCAATGAGGGAACATTTTGTACTGAAAAAAAAAAAGTATATATATAAAAAAAAAAAAATATATATATATATATATATGTGTGTGTGTGTGTGTGTGTGTGTGTGTGTGTGTATACAAATTAGTTGGGCTATATATATACAGCTACTTTCTCTTAATTCAATGAGAAAGATTTGTACTGATAGTGTTTCGTAAAGGTATCATGTCTACATTTTGTGCTATGAATACCTACTGTGAACACAACAATATGCAATGTGTTGTTGCAACTGTCCTACTAGCCTGTTTTGTAACTGTCTCATTGGTATTTCTTTCTGATTAAAATAATTTTTAAAAAGCTCAGGCTCAGAAGTTTTCTTGCTGAGAAAAAAAAATCACTGCATTGGTTGTTAGCTTCTAAGTGACAGGTATTATGGCTTGGAAGAGAGTTTGTCTACATTTTAATCACGTCTGGAAACTACCTGAGGTTTAGATTAAGAGCAACAGATTAAATTTCCAGAAGAAATGTCAAGGCAGTCTAACGTTGAGATTGTTGACTAGCTTCTGTTAGGGGCTTTTAGCCAGAGTTACGTTGAGAAGCCAGAAAAAAGAGCCCAGAAGTAGGATTTAAAATGTTGTGGGGCTGGTGAGATGGCTCAGTGGTCTAAAGCACCTACTTAGAACAAGCTTAGCAAAGCATCAGGGCACGGTTCGGTCCCCCAGCACCACATGCCAGCCAGCCCTGCCCCCTGGTGGACTGAGCTGGCCCCGCGCGCTCGCACGCACACATAAATAAATAAAATAAAATAAAAGATTTTAAAAATAAATAAATAAATAAAATAAAATATTGTAATTTTGAATAAAGAAAACTCCAGTAAAGTTGTGGGATAAAAAAATAAAACAGACATCACTTGTAACTAAAATTTGTAACAAAGAAAATCCAAGTATTAAAAAAATAAAAACAAAGGGAAAAAATGGCCTGAAGATATCACAAGAACTATCAGGAGGCTAATTGTGTATGAGCACCAGCGGCGGGCTCTCGGGTCTCTTTTAGCGCTATGGGCTGGAGGCACTGCCTCCTGCTCCTCCCGCCTCCATGGCTACCTGAGTCACTCCCTGCCCAGCCCCACCACCTGACTCCCCACATGAGCCGCGGGTATTGGGAATTTTTACATATAACATGGCAGACATTGACAAAACCATGGTATGATGCTGTGATATTGTAGCAAAGAACAGTGTGAACTTGATCACTATTTGGATGATGATGAAGTAGAAGAAGAAGAAACTGGTGAAGAAACAAAAATCAAAGTTTTCAGATATGTATTTTCTGCCTTCTGAGGACTATCAAGAATCATAGATAGCCATCTGGATGAAGCTTTGTGCTTCGCAAAGTACAAACGTGTCAGCTGACTGTTCAGATGATGCAGAATCCTAAGATTCTTGCAGCCCTTGAAGAGAGACTTATTGATCTGGTAGACACACCAACAGGATACACTGAAAGTTTGCCTAGGGTAGTTAAAAAAAAGAGTGAATGTTCTCATGTGCACAGATAGAAGCTAAATTCTTTGAGGAAGTTCATGATCTTGAAAGGAAGTATACTGTTCTCTATCAACCTCTATTTGACAAATGATT